TGATAGATAGAAGAAACTATGAGTACTAACAAATCAAATGTCATTTGTGGTTTATGAATCGTCAATTTCATCTAATGGATTAGGATTACCTAGTCTTTCTCTATTTAAGTAAAAAGAGAATTTAAGTAAAAAGAGAATTTGATACTAAATTGTAGCCACTTGAACAATTAATTTTTTTAGCAGAGTTAAACCAATGAATATTATTGAAGCTATAATAAAAAATAAAAGTAGCTTCATTGAGAATAAAATGAACTTTCTGTAAATATAATTTAAACCTATGTTTTAAGGCTTTATGTTTTAAAAACAAAAATGGCACTATTAAAGTGAGACTGATAAAGATGTACTTGGGGAAATTCATTAACATGAGAAATGTATTATCCCTTGATGATACGAGTTCAAAATTAAAACTTGCTTAGCAAATGTAAAAAATAATGTCTCCTATTGCAGATTAACTTGCTTTTTGTTAGTTTATTTCTCTATTCATATCAAATAATATTCATATGTAATCAAGACATTCATAATAATATTAAAGGCAGCACTATGTACTTGACAATTGGTAAATAATGAAACAATTTTTTCGTGATTATGTATATAAAATACTCAAATTAATCTATAGAGCCATATAATCCCAAAATATACAGGGTTGCTATAGAGCTTGCAATTGTATCACTTCCTATATGGAAATACTATTTGACCAACAGGATTTTAGTTGCCTGCTGCATTTGAAATATGATGATACTAATAAGAAAGACTGTTAAAAAGAGAAAGGCTAGAAATTGCAATCTTAATTATTTCAATGAAATAATAAATAGGCCACATAAAGATTTTAGAACCCAGTGAAGCAATATTACAAACAGATATAAAATGACAGTGAAAATCACGTGTGAAATTTTGAGGCAAAACATTAGAACAAGTTTTCTGTCAGGAAAAGTTGTGATGTCATTTGTAGGGACCTGGATGAATCTGGAAACCATCATTCTCAGCAAACCGACACAAGAACAAAAAATCAAACACCTCATGTTCCCACTCATAGGTGGCTATTGAACAGTGAGAACACATGGACACAGGGAGGGGAGCATCACACACTGGGGTCGGTCTAGGGGCTAGGGGAGGGACAGCAGAGGGTGGGGAGGTTGAGGAGGGATAACATGGGAAGAAATGCCAGATGGGGTGACAGGGGGATGGAGGCAGCAAACCACATTGTCATGTATGTAGCTATGCAACAATCCTGCATGATCTGCACATGTACCCTAGAACCTAAAGTACAATTTTAAAAAAAGAATGTGAATTGGCTGCTAGAATGACAGAAACAAGAAGACATAAATATGCCTTGTGGAGGGATAGCTGACATGTTTGACTTGTTGACAAATAACATGATTGATTCTCTGGTGCTACCTTTTAAGTTCATGATAAGAGGCTGCTTCGCATAATAAAGATACAAATGAATTCCAAATCCCTTCTCACTCACTAGGATTATCACTCAGGCACTTTACTTTTCTGAGCTCTGGTTATGAAAAAGAATGCCAATTTCATGGTGCAGTTTTAAGACTTAAAAGTGCTAATCTGTGTACAATGCTTGGCATGTAATAGGCTCTAAACCAAAATTAGCCCTCTCTCCTTGGTAGATTACCCAGGACACTACTATCAGTGTCAAATCAGGGAATTAGTTAAGTTGTTTTATCTCCATTTTAAGATCAAACACAATATATAGTCCAAAAGCTGAGTGTACAGTGCTTTGGGTTTTCAGGAGTTGTCTTCAAACATGTGGTTTAAATAAGGACCAGAAGTGATTCAAAGGTAGTAGGGCTGTTGGTCTGTGGTATTCCTAATGCCTTTTACTGTGCTAAATGGATATGGCTACAGTAACCATTGATAAACATGAACAACAGCCGGTAAGTGCTAGACTAGGTGAGGACTTAAAGAAAGCGAAAGGGTTTAAGCTTCAGAGACCTTCACCTGCACAGGCCCCTTTTCAGGCCTTGTATCTAATTTTTATTTGTAAGTTACATTATTTTGCTTAAAGAAGGCCCTCAAATTAAGCAGTTTACAGGCCCAGCAAAAGCTGGATCCACTGATACTGGTCTGTCACATAAAAGGGAAAAAAAATCACTATGACTAAAAAAGAATAAGGCAACCAATAGCAGGAAACATGAGTTTTGCTTTTCTTGCCCAAATCATGATTTGTTGGTAACCCTTGACCCTAGGTGCTTACATGCTCTTGATCACACATTAGCCCTTGCCTATCTAGGAAAGCCCGCTGTAGTCCAGCATCAGCCTAAAAAGTATATTGCCCATATGAAGAAGTAAGGACTGCCTGTCAATCCAGGAACTTGCAGTTAAATTACACAGGTACTTGATTTCTGACATTTTTAGGTGGGTAAAAGGGAAGAAATAGATGGGAACCATCTTTATATTGAGCTGACTCCATATGCACCAAAATGAGTTAGGCACTGTGCATAGATTATCACATATTACACTGCTTGGTGAGGAATATTATCTAACTTGAGGCTTGGGAGAGGTGAAGTAACTTCTTTTTAAATAGCTAATGGAGCTAGCATTCAAACACAGGGCTTTATGAAGTCAAAGCTCATGGTCTTTCCAACCTCCCTGCCAGCCAATTGGCAAGCTTTTCTTTCTTGGTCCCTTCATTTCCCCATGTATGAGTGCCCGCCTGTAATGCTGCATTCTACTTTAATTATTACTTCTTCAAAATGGTCACAGTCACCAAGACACTCTCCAGTTAGGTAGGTAGACAGATAGAAGATAGACAGATAGAAAAAAAAAAAGATGGGGGGTGTGGGGGAAGAGAGAGAGGTGTTATTTTTTATGATTCCTGTTATTAATAGCTATTATTATTTTACAAGCAGCCTCATGAGTTCTTTTGAAATTCATGTTGTTCCTTTAAATTTCAGTTTTACATTGTAGCTATTTAATCCCTAAAACTGAAACACTGCTCATAATTTGGAGTTAGCAACTTCAAATTTTTATTCCTAAGACCTATACAACAAGGTTATAATTTAAAGTAAAGAAAAATTTTCATCTCTCAACCTTTTCATTTCTTCTTTCACAGAGCTCTTCTCTTTTTCCTGGATAACTTTTTTTCCACCTTCATAATCACTGACCAGTTATTTGTAATGCAGTTATAACTATACTGCTGCAGAAATTAAAATAAATACAATGCATTGGGGGGAAGATAATTTTACATGAAATATGTCAAGCTGTGGCCTGTGGCCAAGGGTTGACTAAGGAGTCAAACAACTACTGAAGGATTGGACACCCTTGTTAGTTGTAAAATTCCCATTGAATTAAAATATTCACTGACACTCTAGTCCCACATAATGAATGATATCGGGAACATTTTAAATATGAGTTCTAAACAAAGGACTCACGTATGAATGAGTGAAGACGTGACTTGAATAGACCAAGTACCTACTCCAAGTGCAAGCTTGTCCAGCCTGCAGGCCACTTGCTGCCTGGGACAGCTTTGAATGCAGCCCAGCACAAATTTGTAAACTTTCTTAAAACATTGTGAAATTTTTTTTGCAATTGTTTTTTACCTCATCAGCTATCATTAGTGTTAGCGTATTTTATGTGTGGCCCAAGACAGTTCTTCTTTCAGTGTGGCCAAAAGATTGGACACCCCTGCTGTAGTGAAATAGACTATTTTTAGGAGGTCTCATTTTAGTAACAGGAAAGCTTGGCAATTGCATTAGTCCATTATCATGCTGCTATGAAGAAATACCTGAGATTGGTTAATTTATAAAAAAAGAGTTTAATTGACTCAGTTCCGCCTGCCTTGGGAGGCCTCAGGAAACTTACAATCCTAGTGGAAGACACATCTTCACAGGGCGGCAGGAGAGAGAATGAGAGCCAGCAGGGGAAATGCCAGATGTTTATAAAACCATCAGATCTTGTAAGACTCACTCATTATCACAAGAATAGCATGGAAGAAACCACCCCCCTGATCCAGTTCCCTCCACCTGGCCCTGTCCTTGACATGTGGAGATTATTACAATTCAAGGTGAGATTTAGGTGGGGACACAGAGCCAAACTATATCAGCAATGTAACCAAAATATTATTTCTTTTGATTAAATAATGTTAGGTTAAACTGTGTTAAGGTGTCTCACGATTATTCATGCAGTGAAATGTGCACAGATAAAGATGGCTCTAATTTATATATGGTGTATTTCCATGAGAATTCTGAGTGTCCAATTTTATCTCAAAGAGTAATATCTTGATTATAACACGGTCTCAGTGCTTGAAGCAGTGACTACCACATTGTACATATGGTGAACTATTCAAAAATGAAATCCTTATGACATCATGGATAAAGTGTGTTTACATGTACCTTTTGTAGCAGTAGAGAAAGCTGCTTAGTTGCACAGATGGCATTATACAAACAAATCCACAAACAACACATTTATAAATAATATAGAGCTAGAAAATAAAATGGTATTGCAAACATATTTATATCTACTACCATTTCCTTCAACAAATAGAGACTTCTGCTTTTTTATATTTATTCACAAAAAGTTTTATATAAGTTTCTTTTAAGGAAAGGAATATATTTTATATTCCTTTCTTTTAAGGAATACTCTTTATCTCTGCTTATTCCCCCAAGCTGACTCTTTCTTGCTGATCATAGCATAAACAAAATATACTTTCAAAGCCTTTAAAATTTTCTGCTAACCATTGAGTTAGGTGTATGTCTGAAAAGATAAATATGTCTTCCTTGGGATGTGTTTGTTTTTATATTGGTCAAGATAAGCCAACAGCTTGAGTACCTGAAATATTATTATCAAGCTTTGCACACATGAAAGTATTTGGTAAAAATATAATCTTGGACGGTATGATTATATGCAAATTCACAGCCTCAGGAGTGCTATGAGAGACTTTTATTTTGGTAAAACTCGTAAGTGTCGTTCCATAAAATTTGCAGTTTTACTTTTTAAAAACTCAACTAACCCTTTTCTTCTCTTTCCCTCTCTTGCTGACACAGATCCACATCCAGAGGACTGAAGGATGTGACCACATGACCTGCTCACAATGTAACACTAATTTTTGTTATCGATGTGGTGAGAGATACCGCCAGCTCCGATTCTTTGGAGACCACACATCAAACCTCAGTATATTTGGATGCAAATATCGCTACCTCCCAGAGAGACCTCATTTAAGGAGATTAGTGCGAGGGTCAGTCTGTGGTGAGTGTCTGACATGCTTATGTGTATCTTCCCTGGGAATTAAGTCATGAAAATAGAACTTAGAAATGTGCAGCCAGGGATGGGGGACAAAAAAAAAAGTAATGTGCAGCCATGATAATTTCGAGCACTTGCCACGTGCCCAGCATTCAGAGAAGGATATTCTCTCACCCTTTAAGATTAAAATTTAAAACTTAAATTTTATTAGCAGGACACTACTTAAATGAGCAAGTAGACTTTGTCTGAAAAAGCAAATTATTAATCACACACAGAAATCTGAAGTTACTTGCCTCTGAAATTTCTGAAACCCTATCATAAGCCACTTGACAAGAGGGACAGTGTCACATTTATTTTTGTAATGGACAATATCCAGCAGCAGGTTTTATACATATCTTCTACCCATTCATGGAGGACATGCAATACAGTACAGCATGGAACATGGTCTAGGAAGGTGGGGGGAAAAATCCACCTTTTGGAGCCTTGTAATAGAGTCCCATTATATCTGTATAATTGATAAGTTGTATATATTTTCATTGTTTTAATCATTAATAAGTAACAGTTAATATAATTAATAAGTATCAAATGCCCTCAGTGCATACAAACCCAAGTTTAATTATGCAAGTGAAAATGCTTTTGTGGATTGACTTTTTATCCCCTCTTCCTCAACAACACATAGTAGCCTTTATACACAACCACTCCCACACTGCCACGCAAATATGCAAACGGAAACACAGACAGCTGCCCATAGACAAATCGCTCTGTCCAAATGCCACTGGCTTCGGGTAATACAGGAATATTTAAATAAAGTATGATATATGGATATCATATTTTATTTTAGAAATTGAAAATGATGTTTTAAAACAACGTTACTAATTTAGGAATAAGGGATAGTATTCTTGGTCCCTTAAGATGGTTTCAAAAGTAGATGTAAACATGTTTTGAACATGGATTACATAATTGGAGTAAGTTTATTTCCTATCTGATTTCTTGAATTCTGTGATGTTTGAGAGGAAAAGGAAACTCAATGCTGTTACTTTGTAGTCATGTTTTATTAGTATTAGAAAAATGTACTGATAATTATTTAAAAAGGAAATATGAATGAACAGACCGATCTATGTGCAAAAGAGAAAATCACATTCTTTTAAAATACATGTGCTTATATATCCTAAACTCTTAAGCATCACTTTAAGAGTGCACTAAACATAATTGTTCAGTGGGGCTTATTACTTACTTGGATTCTGTCACTGGTGAAAAATATAAATAAAACTCATGTTTAGACATACTGCTAATTGAATGGAGATGTTTTTAAATTAGAAATTTAAAACGGTATTGTAAACCTGTGTGGTCATCTGGTTCCAAAGATCATTCCTTAAGAAAAAAAGTTAATACGTTTTGACAAATTTCCAACAAATGGCTGTAGTATGTTTCTTTTTTTAATGTAACTGGTTATTCTAAATTACTTTCCTTAGTTTATAGAATGGTGTTGCTGTTTCATTCTTAAATTGCAACATGAGTCTACTGCAACGTGGTTTTCTGTTTCTCATCTCTTGTTGCACTTGAGTTGTGCAGCTGTGAAGCTATGTTATATCCTTAAGGTTTACAATACAATAGCCACATGTTATTTTTTATTGCTCTTTTTTTGTGGCTGCGTCTTTTAAAGTCAGTGGGATTGTGATGGTGGACTCTGCCATGTATACCTATGAGAAGAGTTTATCATCACTGCTTAATGATTTATTTAGAAAAGAAAATGCTGGCTGATACCACTAGACATCCTTACCAGCACTTACCCTTCTTATTTTATAAGTGCTTCCTTTTTCAATTTGTTAAAATGATTCACTTGAGTATCTTTCAATGTACTGTATATATATTGGTAGCTTTCTCTAACATGTTAAAATGTCCTATTTGTAGCTCGGTCTGGTAGGCATTCATAGTATTAGTTTTCTTTGGACCCAGGATGTAAATAAACCACTTCTTTAGGTGTGGGCTTGAACAGTAGCCTTCTGTAGGGCCTGACAGCTCTCCATGTTGTAAGCTAACTAGATTTTCTGCTACCAACTCAAAATGCACTGCTTAATCTTTTATCATTGCGAACATAAAAAATGGAAAGGATCTTAAGGAAAAGCACAAAGATGAACTGTCCTGGTAGAATACAGCGAGCCAGATGTTTTGGAATGTTTTTGCTTGGGAAGGATAAGTGATTTATGAGATGTTTGGTGCATGTGCTCAGGACTTTGGTGAAGTTACTAAACTTACATGTGTATATCTGTTCTATACCTAATCCTGATACATTTCTTAGATATTTACAGCCTTAAGTGTAATCACACTACTTAAAAAATAATACACACTGTGATATTTAAAAAGCATCACTGTTATTATGTGGTAAGTTAGTTTTGAGACTCCTGAAATTATTTTGCCTTTTGTTTTCCAGCTGGAAAATTATTCATTGCACCTCTAATTATGGTTTTGGGATTGGCACTAGGGGCCATAGCAGTTGTAATCGGTAAGAAACACTTTATGTACCTAAGATTAGAATTTTCTGAGGACCATAGGGAGAATATGAGTGTAAATGTAATAATATGACTCAATTATTAAGTGGACATAATTTCTATTGTATGCCTCCTTTAGATAGATTACCGGAATATCACTTTAAAGATCAGAGGAGCGTATTTCCTGTAGGATGTGTTAGTATTAATTTTTCAGTCTATGAACACTCTGAGGTACATATCTTATAAAGCATTATTAACCCTTTTATGATGCAAAATTAATAGAATTAGTATCTTAGGGAAGGAGGCAAGTGGAATAGAATCCAAATTTTCTGATTCTGAGTTCGGGTTGAAGCATCAAGGAAGAAAAGTTCTGGTTCACCCTATGTGTTTGGTTTGGTCCAGTAAAAGACGCCATGGATAAAATCAGGTAATGTCAGTGTGCACAGGAACATATACCCAACATACACTTTAGCACTGACGAATAGAAAGCCTTGCAGTGATTTGCATAGTTTTATTTAGCAAGTATATTAAAATATGTATTTTAAAGCAGTGGTTTTCAGACTGTAGCGTGCTTTAGGAATATCCTGGAGGGCTGGATAAAACACAGATTGCTGGTTTCTATCTGCAGTTTCTGACTCAGTATAGGAAAAAGGTCCATAGATTTTTATTTTTAAAAAGTTCCCAGGTGATGCTCATGTAGCTGATTCAGGGGCCATACGTTGAGAACTATTGCTTTAATAATTTTAAACTAAATGCTGTAGATAAAGTCTGCTTTGGTCATTGTTCCATATATGAGATGGATTTTTATTTTTGCTAAATAAAATTATTTTCATATGACAACTTGTGTTTAGCAATTAATACATGTGCAGGACAGATAGAATTGTAAAGTATCTAGCATTTAAGTTCTTGCGTATGAGTTAGGACATTATGAAATAGATATTATTGTCTGTATTATACAGTTGAGGAAATAAAGCCTTACTAGGACCTCATAAGTGGTAGAACCAAGACTCAAACCCAACATTTGGCTCCGCGGCCTGTGTTGTTAAGGAATATGCTATACTGCCTGAAACAAGTGTGGCTGTCATAGTGTGACAGTAAAGAAGATTCAAACCAAAGGTGTGATATTTTGATAGAAATCATTATTCCAGTTTAAACTGGTATCACTGAGGGTGTTAAAAGTGGAGAAAAGCTAAAGAGAAATATTAAACAATTATTAATTGAAAAATATTAAAGAATGTTGTAGAAGTAAATACATTTTATAGCATAGATGTCTTCCTCTTTTCATGTTCATACATTGCAAATAAATAAACGGGAACATTTTAAAATAGGAAAACCTAAATGTCTTCATCCAACTAACTTTAATTTTTTTATCCCTAGGTTTATTTGTATTTCCTATCTATTGCCTTTGTAAAAAACAGAGGAAACGATCACGGACAGGTATGCACTGGTAAAATGCAGATGATTTCATCCAACTAAGCTGTTTCGAGTAGGAGCGATATAGGATGGTACACCCATCTGTGAGTCACATCTTGAAAAATACTGAGAGGAACCTTCTACCATCTCATCTCCTAGTGATTCTCCGTGGGCCACAATGCCTCTAGCTATGGTGCACTCCCAACATGGTATCCTGTCCTTTCCCTAAACAAATTGCTGCTGCTTTTAAAAAATGGTCACTTTCATAAACTATAAACATCTGTATCATAACTCTGCCCTTTGTGGTTCTTGGAAGAAGATACTTTAGCAACAGTTCTGAGCACGCCTCTTCTGAGAATTCCTTGGACTGTCTTTGAACTCTGCACCTCCTTCCAGGCCATCTTGTGAGACATAGTGTGAATAGCTGAAGTCCCATCTGTACCAACAAGCAAGGCCACTTTTCAGAAGATAAGAGTTCACTGAATGCACCTATTATAATCTGTGGCCCAAGCAGTATAATTCCTTTATCCATCAAATGCTATAATTGCTAAAAGTCTCAATGTCCAAAAGGGAATGAATGAAACTAAATTAATGAGAAGAATACTAAGTTACTGAAGTGTATATGTGTAGGGGTGTGAATGTGTGTGTATATAAATATGTATTAAAACTAGGCCTAATAACCTTGTATTTATCCAGTTCCATGCCGCTACACTATTTTCCACATTTTAATAGACCTATTGAAAGATGATGGTTCCTTTGTGGACGTAATTTGGCAATGTATTGAATTAAAGTCAATGTAGACAACAGGCTATTTCGATGCTGACCTTTTCTATTTCATGCTCTTTCTTTTTGTCACACACACACACAAATTTGTGCAATGTTACCCCAAGGAGTATTAAGCTTCGTAAACTGACAAAACTGGCTGCTTCTAGGAAATTTTCAAGACCCGAATATTCAGTCTTTTTAAAAGGTATTTTGGAATAGATGCTTCACTCTATAGATAGATCCTTCACATGGGGATTATTTAATCCAAAAAACAAGTTTGCTATAGAAAACTGCTTAAGCCTTTAAAAAAAATCTTATTCTGCTAATTTTTTCTGCTTTTAGGAAATTCTCAAGACCCAAATATTCAGTCTTTTTAAAATTCTTATATTTTGGAATACATGCTTCACTTTATATATAGATCCTTCACGTGGGGATTATTTAATCCAAAAAAACAAGTTTACTATAGAGAACTGCTTAAGCCTTTTTTAAAAAAAATCCTATTCTGCTAATTTTTCACCCAACTTATAATTATAGATAATTCTGCTTTAGGTCAGTTTCTTACATCATTTAATATCCTAACCCTGTTCTCTCTTCTCTCCTCCTTTTTTATTTGTTCCCAATGTTTTTCATAAAAAAAAAATACAAGTTTTGAAGGATTTTTTTGTATGTTTAACTTCTCAAACATGTACATTTTTTTTGGTGTCTTCTTATGGAGGAGTTAGTTTGAAAACTTTTATGTTCATCGGTTTATCCAAAATACCAACTGCTTTTAGAGAATGAAACAAAAAAGTGAAGGAAATATTTTCAGCAAGTCTTTTCAACCTACAAAAGCTTTAAAAATAAATAAGAAATGGACAAGTAATTAGATTATGATATGCCTTTGTTTTCATCACAGAAGTTAATCAGCAGACAGGGAAAAAAAAAAGACTCCTAAAAAGCCTAAAGCTCCTAATTGTCTCAAAATTCTTAAAATTAGCCATTTGTCTTAGATGCACATTTATTTGTTAGCAACCTTGTCTGATTTGAAATAGATGATATGATAAAACACGCATTAACATGGGTAATCTATTTTTGTTGGGCTCCAGAGTGTAAGAAAATTTATTTTTGTTTTACATAAAGTAAAGTTTACCTGCTTGAATAACAAGCCAGCATGCTTTCACTCTTTCTAAATAACACGGAATATCTGTATTACAGCTTCTGGAAGTTGTCTATTTCCAGTTAGAAGAGTGTGTGACATTTATGGTTCGTGAATAGCATCTTTCTAAAGCATAATATTATACAAGAAAAAAGTGATGCTCTGGTTTCACAAATTTATCTTTTAATTCACCCCTCCATCCATCTGACAGATATTTATTGAGTGCCTGTTTTAGGTGTTCTAGTATTAAGACTGAAAGAAGGAGAATTTCTAGCCTGTCATAAGAGTACTTAGGTTTTGTAAATTCATCTTTCCTGAACTTAGGCATTAGTTTGACAATATGTGAATATGATGAACTCTAAACCTAGCTGATCTGTATATGTATGATGTATATATATGTATGGTATATATGAAATATTCCCATAACTGCATATGAACACATATGCCATATATGTATGTACCAACTGGCTGAATAACATACTCTTTGGTCTTGGATAATCTATATTCTAGGTTATGTGTCTGTTATCTTTGGCCTACTCAGGGATTTTTATTTCTTTTTTTAAATAACTTATCTTTTGGACATATTTTTATATTATTTGGAAAACTTCCAATATTCCATTTACAAAGTGATTTTCAGTGAAGCTATTTCATCAATGCTTGAAATAGTGTGCGCTGTGTTGCACAGGTTTTTCATTTTTCTATTGAGTAGATATTTTTTAATTAACATATGCATTTTTATATTAGGTGATATATATTAGGCCTTTCCCTACTGGTAACTTAAAATGATTATTTGTGAATTTTTTACTAAGTTCCATCAAGATCTTAAAAAGAGAGAAGAAAATAAAAAGTATTATTTATATGTCAGTGCCAACTTTGAAGGTAAAACAATAGTAGTAACTTTTGGGAGAAATTCTAAAAACTACTTTAAAAAAGAAGTGTGCACATAAAATAAATGTCTTTGTATCCAAGGCTTGTCATTTTTATATGCTTTTATTGTAAATTTAATATATACTACTTAAAAAATTGAACCATACAGAATTTATAAAATACAATTTTCTCTGCTCGCCCCACCCCTTGTTTTCTAGGGGTAACCACTGTTAATGGTTTAGTATGTGTCCTTGCAGGCACTTTCTACAAATATACAAATAAGTGTGTTTGTGTATGTGTCTGTGTGTGTATTCATTTTATACAAATAGAAAAATATCCTTACTGTGCTGTGACTCTGTCATTTTATTATATATCAATAGATACCTTTCCATAAGAGTTTAAATAGATTTACCTCAGTTTTTAAAATAAATTACTGCATAATCCATTATAGGGGTATATTTTAATTTATTGAATTAGTCCCCTGTTGAATGGACTACAAGATTATTTTCACTTCTATGTTACAAAGAAAATAAGGACCCTTTGGCATATATTTTTGTCACCTTGAGTGAACATATTCATTATATTGTACATTTGTTTCTTACAAGGTCTTTGTAATACACATTTTAACGTAATTTCAGGAGATTAGGTCACAAAATAATATGGGACCCTTTTTTGGATAAAAAGAAAGATTGTACAGGAGTGCATAATTTTTAAAGAAAATCATCTTTTGAAGGATAATTTCCTTTCTACCTGATTAGCCAAACGAATACTTTGCCAAAATTTACAAGAGGAAATCTTTTTCCAATCAAATAAAATTTTAGGAGATGTCTGTCAGATAATGTGAGAAAGATGAATTGACTTTTGGACTGCCTCATTTTAAAATTTGAGGGATTTAAATAAAATTGGTGATACTTGTCACATTTTTAATAACGCTGTCCATTTTTGTGTATGTTGCTTGACAGAGGAACTTAATTATGCCGTTGTGAAAAGTAGGAAAGAACATGTTGGCAATTGTAAATGCCCACAACAATTCCCAGAAAAATAAATTAGATCTTGTACGATTTAGTGATTTGATGGGATGATTATAAATCATGGAATAATTTATATACGTGGAGTAAGTAGAGAGGAGTCAAACCTTTTGGTACAAGCCACATCATGTTGCCACCACCTTGATTTTTCTCATAGGTGCTATTGTAGCCTAAGAGTAGAACAGATAAGAAAACAATCAAAGATAATTAAACACAAGTCAGGTTACAACATGATATCGTTAATTGTCCTTCCTCTGCTGTGGTATCAAGATTCAGTGGTGCTTGTCAGGAAATTCTTATTCTGTAACACCCACTATCTCTTGAGTCCCAAGGCTCCAACTGATCCTTTATCTTTCAGCCTTACCACCCAAATATATTACCGTCTGCTCTCCTAAAATGCCTATGAATCACTGTAATTGTTCCCAGTCCCTGGTGCCCTTCCTCAACCTCATTTTGTCTATACCTTCACTATTCTAACTATTCTTCTTCACTGAAGGAGGAGAGGAGAGACAAGAAGGGCCAAAAAATTCATTCTGGCATGTGCAAAGCATCAGTATTCCTTCCTGACCTTTGTCAAATGAGAGCACATCTGCCAAGACATCAATCCAGCTGCTCTCTTGTTAAATGCAGTTTTTTTTTTAACATTACACTTGTACACTGGCTGTTACATTTAGAATTATCAAAAAGTTAGTGGCCTCTATAACCTTAATTGGTATACTTTATTAAGTATAAAAATAAATTTATGCCAAAAAACATTTTTAGATTTTAATTTTATAAGCAAGCTGCGCACAAGCCTTAATGTGAGTCCTCACATTGGATTATATTTTTATTCTTCCATATTTGTGGCTGAAATCTCTCCTAACTATTGAAAGTGATTTGCCACGGTCTGCTTTATTGTTTTGTGTTAATATCTGTTATAAATAGAGCCTTAAATTTTTGCAATGCACTTTAAAATGCTTGTGCCATTTAAATAATGATAGTTAAAGCAATCAATGCATATATTTCAATGGAGACAGTATACAAAGTTAAAGCAACTGATACATGTATTTCAATGGAGACAGTAGGATAAGAGTGTTAGCAAATATGTGTCTTCTCTTTAAATTTGGGAGGAATCAGAAGCTAAAGATTTAAAACAAGTAAAACATACCTGAAGAAAAGTAGCAATTTCTGAAATTATAGTAATCCTGGAAATTGGATATCAGGACCTCAAACATACCAAATAATGATAAAGTGTTACCTAATAATCTAATTGGAATGTTTGTTTAAAATATTAAGTTAATTTCTACTGAAAGTTTTAACTGCAATTTTATAATTTACGAATTCTATAAAAGAAATCTCCCTGACTAAAACTTTGGTTGATCAAAACTACCAGTTTTACATACCAATCCCAAGTTTAAGCATATTTTGTATTTAAAGTTATTATAATTATGACACTGTTCCCCTATTATGGAAAATAAGTGACAAAATTCTTTTCTTTTTTTCGGACAGGGTGGGGATGGTCTCGCCTTGTTGCCCAAGCTGGTCTTGAACTCTTGGACTCAAGCGATCCTCCCTCCTCTGCCTCTGGAATAGCTGGGATTACAAGCATTCATCTACCGTGCCTGTCTTCAAATTACATTGTTAATTTGTATAGCCAAAATTATTAATTTGATAAAACTGAAATAATTTTATAGTAGCATTAAAGTATCATCAGAACAAAATCAGAGTTCCAAAATTTGGTGAGTATTGTAAGATTGTGAAATGTTACCTTTTGGATGGAAACCAATGATACAAACCTTTAAGAGACAATTACAATGGGACTCCTTTATAACTCTGATTTTGAAAATAGAATGAATACACATTTCATAGCCAAACATTGTGTGGGACTTCTATTGTTATTATTTGTAAGGCTGAAACTCTAGTTGACTTCATCCAAATCCAAGAAACAGAGAGTCACAGTAGTGTGAGACTATTCTCATTGCTTCTTTGGAGCATTAGCTGAAGCTTTACAATATCACATACCTTACAAATCCCTATACATACTCTGTTTTAAAAGAATGTAATTATGCATGTTATACACTATATATATTTTTTTGGCTAAAGAAGTGACTATTTTGAGAATAACAATAATGATTGTAAAAGGCAATAAATTATTTTATTTGAATACCCAAAACATTACCACTGCCTTATTTTTGTCACTTCCTTTTCTGAAAAGTTTCATTTGGTGTATCTAACTTTATATCACTTAAATTATTCAGACTTGCTAACATAGAAAATAATTTTTTTCAATTCTGTGCTACATTGTGCCACTCTATTCCATCATTAATACTAAATGACTTTCCTTGTGAAATGACACCCACATACTTCAACATCAAGCTCCTTTTTCTCTTGCATTTCCTAATTACCTTGGTTTTTGCCTTTGCAGTCTTCTTTCCATCTTGGTCAAGTGTCGGGATAAATTCTGCCTCACCCATAACTACTTTCACTGTAATGAGATGAATTCAACACTGAAAGCACTCCAGAATTTAGCTCTGGTAGTGAGCATAATTTACCTTGGCTTATTTTATCTGTAGATGGAAATGTATCAGGAGTGCCTGGAACATTTTACTCTCTTGATGGGAGCTGGAGAACACTGCCTAGCCCTCTGCCAAGAAGTAAGTCAAGCAAATGAAGATACCAGTTGGATCAGAGGGCCTAATAATATTCTAAAACCAAGCTTCAGAAATTGCTTCATGACTGTTGTAAGATCAATATTGTGTTTGCATATTCATTGGATAGAAAGCATGTGTGGACATTAACCCAACCTGACCCCAGGTCATTCTTTATCCAAAAAGGGTTCTAGCTATGGTTTATGGTCTTTGTTTAGTAAAAAGTCCTTCAACTTGGACTTGGGGTGGATTTATATAGTATAGCATTTGTATATAAGATTCAGTCATGGATTCATACTCTGTGAACATCGTTAGATTTTTGATAATCTAAAGTAGATCACATTGAATGTAACTGATATTAGCTCTATTCTAGAGAAAACATTTGTCATTTGCAAGTGTTTGACTTTTTCATTGATATGATTTACATATAAGTCACAGTCAATATATTTATTATAAATTCAATACATAAGAGAAAAGTACAGGGAAAGACAAATTGAGTGTTAAAGGGCTCCAGAAATTGCCAAAATGTCCTTTTAGATTCTTGTGGCTGGCAAGCTATGCTGTTACTGGTTCTCTGCAAATTTGTGATGGGTTCACCACATCATGTCCCAGCCTGGGACATAGTCGTAGTGATCCAATCAAATGATTAAAAATAGCATTTTTATGAATGTATTACTTCTTCCATATCCCAATATATTTTTAGAGTTTTAAGCTGTTAGTATCTAAATATTTGATATAAATATCTAAATTCTTTCAGTTTATAGACAATGAGGCTGCTTTATGTCTCTTTATAAAGAAAGTTCTAAAGTATCATAATTTCATTATCAGCTGACAACAAACCCATCCAAGACCTATTTTTTTAAGTGTCACATGGCAACTCCTCAGTAGCTTACTTTTATGATTTGATTTTTTTCATCACAATTACAGTCCTCTAGATGGTATTTTAAAAAGTAGAACAACCTTATGTTTCACATGAAACAGAATCATAATTAGTTTGCATATATATAAAACCATTCACCTTGACAAGGACAATCTGTTACAGATTTTTAATTTGAAAATTAATTGATAATTTTGTTGCTTTTAGAAGCAATTATTAACATAATAACTAGTAAATTCTGAGAGATGACAGAAATGATTTTCTGTAGAAGGAACACTACAGTTATATTAAAATGTTAACAAAGAACTAGTTGTTTTGATTTTACTTTAAACAAAATTTCGAGGCATTTTTATGAAAAAATACATATCAAAGTATATTTCAAAACTGTGGGACAATTAAATTATTCATTCTTTTCCCAAATAGAGTAAAATATTATAGAGAAAAACATTTGGATGTTTAATCTATTACTGTATGTTAAGAAATTACAGTTCTAAGGAATTATTGCCATCTTCTATTTAAATATCAGAAGATATTCCATTTTAATTATATTCTCCTTAACAGAAAATTAATTTCTTGATTATTAGATGAATAGTAATTTGTACCAAGTCTTATTTCATTATATTGCATATTTTTTACTTTTCTATAAAATTTGCCGCCATTTTCCAAATAATGAAGGTAATAATATTTTTCATGCTTAAAATGGGCCTGATTGAAAAGAGAGTTCTTTGATTTTTTCTTAACAATACTGGAAAATATTTATTCAACTTTATTTTTTAACCTTTTCTTCATTTTATTAGTTTTGTGACTGATAATCACAAAACTATGTGGATGAAACCCTCCTGAATATATTTTATGAAATAAAGAGGTAGAGCGACTTTTTTTTATTAGACCATGTTGATATGCAGAAATATCTCAAAAGAAATTGCAAAGGAAAAATTCTGTTGAGGTGAAATGTTGGGAAATAAGGAGTATCTTAAAAACCTAATTTTTACATTTTTTGGAGCATTTAACTTCTCATTTCCAAGTGATTATTTCATGCTATTGGTTCCACAAATTGTGTTTTTAGCATAGTATGTACTTTTTTATCACGTTAGCATTTATACTCTAATTACTGAAAATAAAAGAAGAAGTTGGTGAATAAAAGCCAGGTAAACCATTTGTTCTCATTTTCCAATAGCACTTATGTGTAATCCCTTTAACCTTCCATATGGTGCTTTGTGTGATGAGTATATAACATTTATATGTTATTAGTGCCTTATTTTTTTCACTTAACTTTATCTCTCATCTAAAGAGCCATATATTTTTTTGTGAGTATTCTTTGGTCCCTCTATTAAAGTGCTAAGGAGACAGCATATCTTAAGGGATGTATATAGGCTGCATTTGCTGCCTTAATCTACTGTATTCTCTCTAGAACAGCAGGTTAGCCAATGTATTTTTCTTAAATTTATTGTTCATTTATAAGCTAACCTATAAAAATGGATATTAAACACCAGAATTAAAGCCATTAAAATTGAACTGTACTTTAAAACCATAAAAAATGCGAATTAAGTTTAGAACAGGAGTTGATATGGCTCTCAGTTTTAAGTCTCGCTCCAATCAGGACAAAATTACTTTACGAAAAGCATTAAAAATAAAAGTAACTGTATGGTACTTCAGGAATTTGACCAATTCCTTACAACTTATTCTTGGCAATATTTTATCAGTAATATACTTTCATAAAGATGCTGGAGAACCTTGGTGTCTGCTATTTACATGTTATTCATTCCCAGTGAGCTTTATCAACATCAAGCCATTTTGTATAATATTTTGCTCTTCTTGATCTGTGCCTTTTGTTTTAGCTTTATTAAAAAACTGATTTTGTTATATTCTTTATGTATCATAATATATAATTCAACTTTTCCTGATGAATGTTTGTTGAATAATTAAAATAAACCATTTGCTTAGAAAAGACAAAGACAGGTTGTATATGCAGATATGTGTAAATATTTGAGGAAGAAAAAAAAAGGAAAAGAACCTTCCTGCCAAATGTAGGTCCTGCTGGACAGGACCTGGAAATTAAGAAGTTTTTTTGTTTTGTTATGCAGTGAAATTTAAAAATCTATTACCTCAAGAATTTTCAGTCAATGTGTCAATGTACTGCTCTTTCTTAGCAAGAAGAGTCTCATGTACTGCTGGCGGTAAAAGCAACCCAAGTGTCATGTTCCACAAATTTTAGGGACAAGTCTTTCAAAAGACGGACACCTTGTAATATTTCAGAGTCGAATTTTGGACTTTTCATAATGTTCCAATGACATTTTACTGTGGTTGGGCTTTTATAAAAAAAATATTTTTTGGTTGGTTGTTTTAGAATGAAAGGGTAATCTTAATTATGAAATCAGATTGCATGGAAGAATATAAAGGCACACAAATGAAAACTAATGGTTTTCTAACTATTTTGAATGTGATTGTATGAGCTATTGTATGGATTACTGTGGAGTGCTGTTTACCGCATGATGTGTGCAATACATCATGCAATGTCATTTAGCAATGTGTAATAAAAGTTTTTAAAAGAGAAAATTCTTATCTTTTCTTCCAATAGATTTGGATTTTTTAAAAAGTAAAAGGTAAAATTTGACAGCAACAAAACTATTGTACCTAGAGTTACTGGAGTAATTTTTACATTGGATATAAAGCAGGAATGAACAGAAATTCAATGGTGTGCTTTTGGGAAGGTGGATTGTGTTGTGTTGCTGTGGCATGTTTTGGGGAAAGAGCACAGAATAGTGAAGATCAATAGTGCAAACATTCTGCATGAGGCATGAAAAAGAAGCAAATAGTGTGGAAGTAAGAGACTGGCTTAGGGTGGTCATTACTCTCTAGACCAAGGGGCCCATACAGGGGTGGGAAAAGCAGAAACCACTAAACTGCTAAAGGCAAACATGTATGCCTACTCTATAACCTAGCAATTATTTCCCTAGATCTATCTCTAATGGCCTTTGTTGACCAAAGGATAAGTACAAGAATTTTCCTCAATAGTAAAATCATTAATATATTGCGGTATATTCATACAGTGGAATATTATAAAACAATTAGAATTAAAATAAATCTTTATTTTAGAAAATTACAGAGCAATTCATGCAAAAATACAGTGAAATCTCACAGACATTATGCTCAGTAGATGAGGCCAAGGACAGAGTATATATTGTAGGATGACATTAAATGATGATCAAAAACAGACAAAACTGATCAATGATAATAGAATCGTGATTACTTTTGGGGTTGGTATTATTGACTGTGAGGGTAGTAAAAAATCTTTCTGTGATTATAGAAATAGTCTGTTACTTCATGAGGGTGTTATTTGGGAGGCAGAGGCGGGTAGATCACGAGGTCAGGAGATCAAGGCCATCCTGGCTAACACGGTGAAGCCCCATCTCTAATAAAAATACAAAAAATTAGCCAGATGTGGTGGTGGGCATCTGTAGTCCCAGCTACTCAGGAGGCTGAGGCTGGAGAATCGCTTGAACTTGGGAGCCAAGATGGCAGCACGGCACTCCAGCCTGGGCAACCATCTCAAAAAAAAAAAAAAATCTGGATTGGGTGCAGTGGCTCAAGCCTGTAATCCCAGCACTTTGGGAAGTCGAGGCAAGTGGATCACCTGAGGTCAGGAGTTCAAGACCAGTCTGGTCAACATAGCAAAACCCTGTCTCTACTAAAAATACAAAAATTAGCTGGGCATGGTGGCGCGTGTGTAATCCCAGCTACTTGGGTGGCTGAGGCAGGATGATCACTTGAACCCGGGAGGCAGAGGTTGCAGTGAGCTGAGATCGCACCACTGCACTCCAGCCTCGGTGGCAGAGCAAGACTTCATCTCTAAATAAAAAGTAAATCAATAAACCAATAAATAAATCTCAAATGTTATACGTCCATTTTAAAAATTAATGGAGCCCCGCATAGCCAAGTCAATTCTATGCAAAAAGAACACAGCGGGGGGCATCACACTACCGGATTTCAAACTATACTACAAGGCTACAGTAATCAAAACAGCATGGTACTGGTACCAAAACAGAGATATAGACCAATGGAACAAAACAGAGGCACCGGAGGCAACACAACATACATACAACTATACAATCTTTGATAAACCTGACAAAAACAAGCAATGGGGCAAGGATTCCATGTTTAACAAATGGTGTTGGGAAAACTGGCTAGCCATGTGCAGAAAGCAGAAACTGGACCGCTTCCTGACACCTTACACTAAAATTAACTCCAGATGGATTAAAGACTTAAACATAAGACCTGGCACCATAAAAACCCTAGAAGGAAATCTAGGCAAAACTATCCAGGACATAGGAGTAGGCAAGGACTTCATGAACAAAACACCAAGAGCATTGGCAACAAAAGCCAAAATAGACAAATGGGACCTAATGAAACTCCACAGCTTCTGCACGGCAAAAGAAACAGTCACTAGAGTGGATCGGCAACCAACAGAATGGGAAAAAATTTTCGCAGTCTACCCATCTGACAAAGGGCTGATATCCAGAATTTACAAACAACTCAAGCAGATTTACAGGAAAAAAACAAACAAGCCCGTTCAAAAGTGGGCAAAGAATATGAACAGATACTTTACGAAAGAAGACATATATGAGGCCAACAATCATATGAAAAAATGCTCGTCGTCACTGGTCATCAGAGAGATGCAAATCAAAACCACATTGAGATACCATCTCACGCCAGTTAGAATGGCGATCATTAAAAAATCTGGAGACAACAGATGCTGGAGAGGATGTGGAGAAAAAGGAACACTTTTACACTGTTGGTGGGAGTGTAAATTAGTTCAACCATTGTGGAAGACAGTGTGGCGATTCCTCAAGGCCTTAGAAATAGAAATTCCATTTGACCAAGCAATCCCATTACTGGGTATATATCCAAAAGACTATAAATCGTTCTACTATAAGGACACATGTACACGAATGTTCATTGCAGCACTGTTTACAATAGCAAAGACCTGGAATCAACCCAAATGCCCATTGATAATAGACTGGATTGGAAAAATGTGGCACATATACACCATGGAATATTATGCAGCAATCAGAAATGATGAGTTCGTGTCGTTTGTAGGGACATGGATGAATCTGGAAAACATCATCCTCAGCAAACTGACACAAGAACAGAAAATGAAACACCGCATATTCTCACTCATAGGTGGGTGATGAAAAATGAGAACACATGGACACAGAAAGGGGAGTACTAAACACTGGGGTCTATTGGGGGGAAAAGGGGAGGGCCAGTGGGAGGGGGAGGTGGGGAGGGATAGCCTGGGGAGAAATGCCAAAAGTGGGTGAAGGGGAGAAGAAAAGCAAAGCACACTGCCATGTGTGTACCTACGCAACTGTCTTGCATGCTCTGCTCATGTACCCCAAAACCTATAATCCAATAAAAAATAAAAATAAATAAATAAATAAAAATAAAAATTAATGGAGCAAAAAATGTACTTTGAAAGATTCAGAAGGCCAGGCGCGGTGGCTCAAGCCTGTAATCCCAGCACTTTGGGAGGCCAAGGCGGGTGGATCACGAGGTCAAGAGATCGAGAACATCCTGGTCAACATGGTGAAACCCCGTCTCTACTAAAAACACACAAAAAATTAGCTGGGCATGGTGGCGTGTGCCTGTAATCCCAGCTACTCAGGAGGCTGAGGCAAGAGAATTGCCTGAACCCAGGAGGTGGAGGTTGCGGTGAGCCGAGATCGCGCCATTACACTCCAGCCTGGGTAACAAGAAAGAAACTCCGTCTCAAAAAAAAAAAAGAAAAGAAAAGAAAAGTAAAAAGAAAGATTCAGAAAATAAAAGCTTCTCTTAATCCCAGATACAGAAACACATTTGACTTATACGTAACTAAATATAAAATGAAGATACTGTTTGCTACATTTTATAATATACTGTAATGTCTTTCTTGGGTCACTACAATTTTTTTGAAAATATGATATTTAACCTTTCAAATGGCGTATATTTTAGCTATTTGTAGTTTCCTGCGATCAGAAGACTACAGTAAAAATTCCTGAACAAAGATCTTGGGACAAGCTGTTAGTAATGGACTTGCAGGGTCAAATTCTTAAAACAATTATGAAGCACGTGCCCCCATATATATCCAAATGATACCATTTCAACTTGATGCCAATATATGTTTCTATCACAAGTTTACAAGAGTATTCATTTCATTTCATTTTCACAAAAACTATTTCATCCCTTTTTAAAAAAATTTGGCAGATTAAAAATTGCATGTAATCTTTTTAAATCAGATACATACACACACACACACACACACACACACACACACACACAGAGTGCCAAATGTGTTTTCTAAATTAACTTTTCCTTAAATCTATTTGCATTTAGTTCCTTTCATGGTAATAAGCCCTTATAATTTCCTTCTGTTTTCCTATATTTCTAAGCTCCAAGCTGCTATGTTTAAATACAAAAATGGCAATATCTTTTTATTATAGCTTCAGTTGCCAACATACACATACATAAAACAGCAGAGATGTATTTAACTTACACAATTTACCACAAATGTGTGTCATGACATATGCTCCAGCATAAACATGAGATGAGAACCATGAATCTCCTGTTACTTCTGGCATTCTGGTTGCAGAGTACCACTTCCAGTGTTGAGCAGGCCGAATGTGATTCCGGCATTTAATAGTGTTTATCAAACTACATTTCCCCTTATTTTGAGCCAATTATGTCATCTGGCACCAGTGATTTTTTTTAATGCCTTTAATGTAGCTGAGGTCATCCACTGAAAGATGACGAGTTAGTCACCAATAGAGCCCCTACCTGTCGAGTTTGTTACTCACCATTGCCCAATGCTCCGCTCCACATATTTGTTAATTAAATGTATATTTCAATAATGTACTGTTAGGTATTGAAAGTGAAATGATTAGAATATTAAAAATGAAACTCATGATCAGCCGGGTTTTAATTCTCAAATTACAATTGAGGTATATTTGTGAAGAAGGTAAGAGCTCTGAGGCCAAGCAACTGTATTTAAACCCCAAGGTGCCCTCTCTCAGGCTATGGAACCTTGGGTATGTTACTTAACCTCTCTGTGACTCAGTTTTCTGTAAATTGGGAAAACAATACATGCTTCCAAAGTTAGTTGAGGGGATTAACTGAGTATTATACATGCTTAAGCCCTTAAAATAGTGCCTTGCACTTAACAAGATTTCAGTAAATGTTAGTTCTTATTATTGCTAGTGACTGTGCTTCATTTTAAATATGTTGGCCAACACAAAATGATTCACTGTTGTCAGTTACAAGTAATGGAGTATCATTCCTAGATGTTGTGTCAGGGGTGTCATATGAAGCATTCTAAAAGGCAAATTATTATTATTATTTTTATTTTTTGAGATGGAGTTTTGCTGTTGTTACCCAGACTGGAGGGCAATGGCACAATCTCGGCTCACCGCAGCCTCCACCTTCTGGGTTCAAGCAATTCTCCTGCCTCAGCCTCCCGAATAGCTGGGACTACAGGTGTGCACCACCATACCCAGCTAATTTTTGTATTTTTAATAGAGACG